AGTAGAGTAAACGGAAGTGATAGTGGATTCCTTAATTGTTATAGTTGATTATACCTTCAGTCCCTTTGGGATATCATTTGTCTTGCCTAGGAGCTCTTTGTAAAAAGGTTAATCTTTTAAAAAAGAGAACATTTTCATTCAGATTGTTGAGGCTACTCCCTTTCTTTAAGGTCTGCGTGAACTTTGGGACTCTCCAGTTTCTTCATTCCTCGCCGCTGAGCCAGGCTGGAGGACTGAACCGGCTCCAGGACCGGAGCAGGAGCGCAGCGCTTCAGAGCAGAGTAGGTGGCGGACAGCGCACCCTGGTGGGACAACAAGAGAGCATATCAAATGAATACTGGTCAAATCTTTCAAACTACTAAATAAGTGGCAGACAGTGCCACCTGATGGACAAACAGAGAAACATATTACAGTGTTTTGATTTGTTGTACATTATACTGAGAAACAATCATTCTCTTACAATTAGGATGTAACATGGCTTCTCACAGAAAGCCTGAGAACAACACGTATTATGTCTGATGTTCTGACGATATTCACTGTATTCACACTGACCTTGACAGTAAGAGCGTCCTGTCTGCTGAGAGCTTTGTCAGAGAGCTGGCCTCTGTCTACAATCCAGGGGTGACGAAGAACCTAATGGATATAAAAGCACAAATGTTTTCTTTATGCATTACTCAAAAGCTACAGATATAAAGAAATACATTTGAAAACTTTTGTACTGATATCTGTAATATACTTGCTAATCTTTCCACTCAACAGTTTGTAAATAATCAATACTACCATACAAATAAAGCAGACAAAGTCATATTATCTTAAAAATGTACCTGGGGAGCAGTCAGGCGCTGGTGAGGGTCCACATGGAGCATCTTTATAACAATGTCCTGTTAAACATATCATTATATTTGGTCAGAACCAGGTCCATGAGGTCAGGAAGAAAAAACATGTTGTGTGTGTCTATCATTGAAGACATACAAACAAATCTAACCTTGGCAGAGTCTGATACAAGTTCCCAGTTCCCTCCTGTGATAATGAATTTCCCGCAGCCGATTTGAGCCAGAATTTCCTCTGCGCTGTCCTCAGAACTGCTGGCAAACGGACTGAAACTGTGCCAATAACAATAAAAATGTACAGGGTGAGTCCAAATGTGTGTTGAATTACAATAACTGCGATGGGGTCAGACCAAAGGGAGCCCTCGAGGATCTTCAACTCATGAAAAAAACACTTTTGACAAAACCTAGCATATTCTGATATTGCACAGCAGTAGGGTGAAAATGTCCTCATTACTTTCAGTTTTTAACTTTTAACTGACCCAGCTATCATGGTGTAGAGCATGATCCCCATGCTCCAGATGTCACAGGCTGCATCATAACCCTGCTTCTTCAGGACCTGCACACACACACACACACACACACACACACACACACACACACACACACACACACACACACACACACACACACACACACACACACACACACACACACACACACACACACACACACACACACACACACACACACACAGTCATATATTAGATAAGAGAATAATCGCTTAACTTCAGCAGTCAGTTGCAGTAATAACATGGCAAAGCGTGATTTATGAGGGTAATATTTAGAAAGGTCGGGATAATTAAATAGCCAATGGCTTAATTATCCAGTGTGTTTATCTGTCAGTTCCTAATAAAGCAATGATCAATCCAGTGATTTATCTACATGGTTCATTTGTTATCCAATCAATATGCAAGTTTGTCATTTAATTAAATATGGAGATAGGACATGCGCTGCTTTCTTAAACATACCTTTGCTATGGGGATGGTGCTGTTCACCTCCTGACGAGCAGGCGCTACCGTGGCAACGCTGGGCTCCTGACTTGGATTAGTTGCAACGAAGCTGAAGCCACGAAACAGCTGGTGTGTGTTTGCACTTGGAGGAAGGCCTGGAGAATCTAGTAAGGCAAAGACACACATGGGTTCACAATACTTCATAATTATTTTTTCTTGTTGTGTGTTTGTATATATAAATATGTTTTTGTTTGTTTCAGTTACCAGTGGGCGTTCTGGAGGTGAACTCAGGGTCAAAATGGAAAGTGTCTTCAGGTCTTCCAACTGTTGGTTTGAATGGCGGCCTCATTTCCTTCCTGTACAACTTCTACAGAAAACAATCACAATCATCAATAACAGCATTCATTAGCAAACATTTGTTTAAGCACAATATAACACTTGATCAGGTGTACATTTGTTATATGACAACTAAGTAAAAGTGATGCTTATAGTTTGTAAATATTGTTGTGTAAACACATTTTGGAAATGTCCATTAAATTGCTATGTTCAAAGTTGATGGATTCAGTATAAACAATGAAATATTGTATATTTCATTGTTTGAAATATTATGAAATATTGTATATTTCATTGTTTGTATCACAGAAATGTGCCCCACATTCCACATTTTCACAGTAAATGCATAATGAAAAATCTTAATTGTATAGACTGTAATGGAAAATAACACCTATAGTATATTACATTTTGTGATCTCAGATGAAAACTCTTGGATGTCTTATATAAGGGTAAACAGAGTATGCACATAGTGTATTTTGTATTCCTAAAAGCACTCCTGACTATGGCCTGCAGATGTCGCCATTGTATTGTCATTCACCGCCTGCTGGGAACATTCTGGCAGGGCCTCTATAAGAACTCACATTAAATAACTATAATAGAGGCCAACAGCCTTAGAAAAAATGTTTTAGCATTCAGCTTTACTGTATACTTGCTATTTGATAAAACGTCATTCCCTGTGATGCATAGCCAATGAGAAACATAAAGCTGATTTTTTAATAGCAGCTTTATGAGAGAAGCTCCTCAAAGATCAAGACATATATGAAATAGCGGATGATCACAGGGAAAAGTCAAGTAAGATTCTGATGGACAAGAGAGCAAAGCACTCTGCTGATACAGCACAGAGATTTGATTAGCATAGTACAAGAAAGAATGTAAGCCTCTTATTGATAGCTTGTCACATCAAGCAAACAACACCATCTGTAAATGGGAAATGTGGTGTTTGGCAGAGGCTAGTAAGTAGTAATGTAGCAAGGAGAACAGTGAAAGCCGGTGGTGAGGGCAGGGATTACTGAGCATGTAAAGCAGATAATAGTGGATTTGGTTAGAAATGAGAGCGGCACTATTCACAACAGCAGATGAACCAAAATCAAAGCTTCTGAACTCGGATACAAAATAAATGGATGCACCAGTGTGAACATGAGCAAGGCTCTTGTATTAAGGAACACACTGAATACAAAGTACATGTATGATGATCTTCTTTAAAGCCTTGTCGCTTTTTATGGTTATTGTTGTTTAAATGAAAACTGAAAGCATCCTGTGGATATTTTCACATACGTTCTTTGCCTGTTACCAACTTAAGCTTGTTGAGTTTATTTTAACTGCTGTTTGTGTATGCAGCATAAATGTAAATATACGTTTTGAATGTGTTCAGTTCAACAAATAACCTCTTTAAGCAGCATATGTTGAAGGAGTGAATGTCAAGGTTAGATTATGATAGCATAGCTATTGTTTGCAGACAGAAAATGTGAGCATGTGCAAACCCTCTGCGAAAGGATAACGTTACAATAAAGTAAAGGCAGATTGGGAAGACAAGGACTTCGCCACTTGAAAAATGTCACGAGGAAGTTTAATGATTCATGGTTGTGGATAACTCTTGAGGAAGTTGCGGGGTTTTCATAACCGGATAAAAAAAAAACATATAAGTAGTCACCATGTGATTAAGATTTCTTTATAGATTCAATGTTTTTTAATTTATTTAACCAAGGCCAACAAGCGTAGACCGGTACTGCTTTTGTCACATGATCAGAAAAAAACAAAGTTGTATTTATGAAAAAGGTCTTAAATGTCTGACAAAAATGATTTCTGGCTAACACCTTTACATGAAAGTGGAAACATAAAATCAATACACAGTTTGTAGGAGCAACCAGGTGTAGCTGTTGATAGTTGGAAGGGTATATTACTTACAGACTTTTAGTGGCTGACAAAAAGCCCTAGATGTCTATGGCAGTATTAACATTTAATTGTGTTTGATTGAGTCTTTGATTACTCTTTTTAAAGTATTATTTTTACAAAATATGTATACAAATATGTAAACAACATAAAATTTCTGATGAAATGTACTTACAATCCAGTCTATCGATGCAAAGAAGCGATGTCTTTTTATTTCCTCCAATCCATCTGGTCCTGCACCTATCAGTCACACAGATGCAGACAAATATTAGGCAACCAGACAAAATGGCACCTATTCATTCAGTTCATTCAATGATGGCTTGAATCCTTGGACAGTTGTGACGTAATGCTTATCTCTTGCATTTTAGCATACTAAGAGTCTGTTGTGACAATTAAAGCAGGAAGATCTTGCTGTAGCTTTAATTTAGCTACATTTAAATGACAATGTATCAGTGTTTCTGCTTACTATGAAAAGATTGCAGAATATAATTTAACACATCAGAATTAAAATGACTGATTTCCTTTAAGTTCGCTGCTATCATGTACTCCAACTGTATGCCAAAGCCCTCCAGGTAAGAACTGACCTGAATACTTATCGTACATTTTCCAAGTTTTATGTGTAAATTACCTAGTCGATTAGCAGGGTTCCTCTTGAAGAGTGCTCTTAGTAAGCTCTGCACTTCATGACTGAGGAACTGCGGCATTCCCAGTTTTGCCCTGTACAGGACAGAGAAGAAACAGCTTGATGCACACACATTATATGTAACAACCTCAATGACACATGAATATAAGAATCAAAAACAGCATCTTAATGATACCCAGATCAGTAGGTTTTTCATCAATAAAAAGCTTTAAGAATAAGAACAATACATGTTAAAAGTTTGAATTGGACTTACTTTAAAATAAGCGCCATTGTTTCCTTCCGATCTTTTCCTTGGAACGGTAACGTTCCTGTCAACATCTCAAACTGGAAAACAGATGATAAATGTCAGAGAAAATGTCAGCTGATCATGTGAAGGTAATGCGCATAGAGGTGTAAAGGTAAATGTTGCGTTCAATGCAAGCTTCATTAGTTATTTGCACTTCCCCTGCATATGAATAATACTTTCTTTTAATTGATTATGCTGAAAAGTTGTGCCTTGAAATTATTACATTATGGTTTGAGCTCCATCACGTCATCAGCCTGTTTCTGTAATATAAATGTTGCTGTAATTTAAATAACACTGACATGAAATAAGGTAAGTATGCCAAGAAATACAGTATATAACATTATGTTTCAAACAGGCAATTGTTAATCTGTGACCTCTATCTCAAACCTCCACTTATGAGCAGGGAAGCCATATATTCACAGTAATAATTATTAAAGAGAAAAATCCAGTAAATATTATAGTAAATCGTGTGGTATATCTAGATGTAGAACATAATGCATTTAGAAATAATCCAATTAAAAACTGCTAGTTCAAACTGTTTAGAAATGTTTGAATTGTATTCCAATCTAGTGTTGACCAATTCATTTTTATCTGTCTCAAAGACTAAAGTGTTCGAAATTATGATGAGATAAGCAATATAGATTTTTCCACAAATGGTGTTATATTTTATAAAATAGGCTGTCTCTTAGACCAGCTGTGTTTCAGTGAATGTTAAACTCATTCTCAGTATTAGCAAATTAAGCTGGCAGGCAAACAAAACAAGCAGAATCCAACAGATGCACGATTACAGAAAGTGATGGGACCTAATCTGCCAGATACGGTAATTAAGCAGCTTTACTGCCAGAAAAAAGCCAAATTCCAGTACACTGGAACATTACAGTATGTCACATTATATAATGTTATTTGGCAAATATGAAAATGTGCATTTCTGCCTGCTGCTTTTGACACATTTAATTATGTCATATCGTTTTAAAATTAAAAGATTCGTACCATAAGTACCCCAAATGACCACCAGTCAGCACTTTGTGTATGCCCTCTCCTGTTCACCACCTCCGGAGCCATGTACTCTATTGTTCCACAAAAAGAATATGCTCTTTTATCATGGTCGATGGCCTCCTTACTCAATCCAAAGTCTGAAACACAGAGAGACAAAGAGGGGGGGG